CTCTCTCTCTCTCTCTCTCTCTCTCTCTCGTCGTCCGTTTCACACTGCTTAACAACAACAGATGATGGATCGTCCTTCTCCAGCTCCCCCTCCTGCTGCTCCTCCCGCTCTTCCTCCTCCTGCCCCTGGTCCTCCTCCAGCTGCGGCTCCTGCCACACGTGTGTGTGTGTGTGTGTGTGTGTGTGTGTGTGTGAGAGAGAGAGAGAGAGAGAGGGTACTTCCATCAATAGGATGAGCAAAATCGAACGAATGTCGGTCTCCCGCTAGCACATGGAAATATACACCGCCACACTTTTTTTTTCTCTTTTTTTTGTGATGGAAATATACACGGCCACGCCACCTCCTTTCCCCCCCTCCCTCTTCTTTCCACCGACTTCCCTCCGCTGACCTCCCTCCCTCGACTTCCCTCCCCATCTCTACTTCCCTGTCCTGACTTCCCTCCACCGACCTCCATTCCCCGACCCCCCTCCCCCGAACCCACTTCCCATCTCGACTTCCCTCCCTGCACTGACCCCCCTCCCATGACTTCCCTTCCCATCCCGACTCCCCTCCCTCCCCTGACCTCCCTACTCCGAGTCCCTACTCCAAGGTCCCTACTTCGACTTCCCTTTGCCTACCTTGCTCCGCCGACCTCCCTTTGCCGACTTCCTTCCGGATCCCTGCGTCCCACCCCCTACTTCCCGATCCCCACCTCTCCCACGATCCCGGTTTCCCTCCACCGATCCCCACCTCTCTCCCCCGATCCCAACTCCCTCCTCCGACTTCCCTCCCCCAAACCTCCGTCCAACGATTTTCCTCCCCATCCAAGCTTCCTTCCCCCCACTTCCCCCCATCGATCCCCACCTATGTTTCCCGATCCCGACTTCCCTCCCCGATCCCATTTCTACATCCCGACCTCTACTTCCCCCGATTGCGACCTCCCTGCCCTGACAGCTCTTCTTCCTCCTCCTCCCGCTGCTCCTCCTGCGCTTCCCCCCTTCCTCCTCCCGCCCCTCCTCCCACTCATCCCGTAGACCGCACCCTCACCCATCGGCAGTCTGCGCGGATGCCCTCTCTCTCTCTCTCTTTCTCTCTCTCTCTCTCTCTCTCTCTCTCTCTCTCTCTCTCTCTCTCTCTCTCTCTCTCTCTC